AACGATTCAAACGAGAGCACGTTCTCTGTATATTTCTCACCCTTCGACGAACGTTTCAACCCCTTGGTCCAAAAACTCGACGCCATTTCTTTAGATTAAGACAATCCAATCTGTAGTTGAGTAAAACGAAGAAGAGAAGAAGAAAGGAAAAGAGAAAGGCTTTAACTCGAGTCGAACAGAAAGAGAGAGAGAGAGAGAAAGAGAGAGAGGGAGGGAGGTCTCTCTTTGCAGTATATATATATATTATATACTTTATATAACGCGGGAATAAGAATAGAAACGCGTTTATTAGAAGCACAAAGCGCGGACGCGAGAACGTTTCGAGGTGCGGGGGAAAAAATCGTAGATTTATATCGTTTATCGAGACGAGAAACGGGGCGAGTTTCGACTCGTTGTCGCGAAAAAAAGAAAAGAAACTGTCCTCTCTCTCCTTTCTCTTCTTCACGCCTTCCTTTTACACCATATATATATATATATATATATATATATGGACAGTTTCGCGATCGAAAGCGCTCGTTTCCTCGTCGATCTTTCTTGTATAAAAGCGACTTGTAAAATAGCATTTGTTATACTCTTCTTAGCCCGTAAAACGTGTAAATTAGAGAGAAAGTCTTTGACAAGCAGCTGTATATATATATAAATATATATATATATATATACATATACATTTAGGGAATCGGTTTCGTCTCGATAACACGTTCGATCGCGTGAGAAATCGTTTTCGCAAGAAATCGTAATCGAATTACAGGAAGCAAAATGGTCTCCGTTTTGCCGAGTGTATATTCGATGTTGCTCCATTCGGAAAACGAACGATCGGCCGTCTCGATTTCCGAGTTTGAATCGGAAACGAGGAGGTGGAGGAGGGAAGGAAGGAAGAAACGGTCGATCGGCGTTTCGAACACGCGACCCGAGCCTATGCCGTCACGCCACACATTTATTCTATTCCCTCATTGTTTGTACGCGCAATTGTACGCCCAGTCATCTTATTATTATTATTATTCTTATTATTATTATTATTATTATACTTATTCTTCGTCGCACTTCGAACGCTTGGATCCTTCGCATGCTTGGAAAGTCTTGGAACTGGCGATCTCGATTGTCACGTGACAACGAATAATAACGATCACATGTTCCACCTACTTATACAGTGTATACAGTGTGCTTTTTCTTCTTTCTTCAGTTTCTATGATATTTAAGTAAAAACCTTCTTCATCCTCGTATATGTATATATATATATATATATTTTTTACAATTTTTCTATGATATATAGGATAGAAAAATTGTAGGAAAAATAAATAAATATATATATATGAGGTGAGAAAAAGAATTGTAGAAAGAATTAACAGTTTTATCGCCATGGTATTGTCTTTGAAAAAGGGATGATTTCGATAGAATCAGGTAGAATACGTTAATGTAATTTTTAATAAGTAAAAATCGCGAATTAAAAGATAGATAGATGGCGATTTTATTAAGGGGGTTGTGAAGTCAAGAAGGAATTTTTTAAGGGTTTTTTTTCGCGAAATTGGACTTTGAAATCGATTCGTTTCACCGATCTGGCGATTTGTAATGTGAAAGAGATCTTAAGATCGTTGTAAGTTTTAATTTTTTTTTTTTTTTAATTAATTGTGTGATTTCTATATGTAATCGGGGTTTGAATTTAGGAAGAGGGATTATTATTAATGGTTGAGTTTCTTTGTTAGAAATTTTAATTTAATAACTTAGTTGGGACGAGGAAAAGATTAAATATACAAGATAATATTGTTTGGTGCTTAAATAGAGGATAATTAGTTTGTGTTTTAATGCGACTAAGAAATTTATTATGCCCAATACGCGATGTGCAATATTTTGTAAATTTCTAAAAAGAATCGATGACAAAAGCGGTTATTTTATAGAAAGTTGTTCAAAATTTCTGCCATTTTAAGTTTACCAAGATTTATTAAATATATTCTCTGGATAAATAATCCACACTAGCTCAACATGTTGAAAATACGCTTCTTGAGTCAGCATATCTCGAACATCTCCTATATACTACCTCAAAGATTTACAAACTGTTTTTATAGTCTTTTTCTTTAAAATAAGCAACTCCCTCTTCTGTTTCATAGATAAGAATCTTTTCACATCCTTTCCTCAAATCCCATTCCAATCCCAAAATACAACATAATGCAACAAAAGCTAATGTTCTTCGCTCTCTCAACTTTTCTCACATCATACAAAAAAAAAAAAAATCACAATTCAAACTAAAAATAAAAAAAAAAA